AGCACATCATGTCTTTGCACACTGAGCCACCAACTCATCCTCAACATGATCTGTTATAAACAACTGTAGCTTGCCTTTCATGTGATATCAGAAATGGATGAAGAGACTCCTCAGTGCTCTGATTCTTCTGAGATTACTGGTTATTTCTCCATGATGCCATTTTGGCAGTAAAAGATAAAAAAGACAGCAGATGAGAGAGCTCTTCTTGGCCACGTTTATTACAGCTGATTACAGTTTGAGCGAGTGTGAAACGGTGGGATGTGCATTAAGTTGACAGAGTGGCACTGGATGCACTGAAGGCATCAACTTCCCTGTGTGAGCTGTTCACAGAGAAGATGAGCCTCTTACAGGGAGGTGACACAGGAAAGGCAGCGCTCGTCGATGAAGATGAACAGACACTTCATCTTTACACCACTGTACTTTCAGTGATAGATGGCACAGGTTTTGTGGTGTAATGAGCCATATTCATTAGCTGCAGATGACTTTTCAGCATCAGATAATGAAAGAGGATGAGCATTGTTACGTTATCAGTGAATTTCTGATAGGGGTAATGAGCAATATCCAGGAAGTAGGATCCTTTGGAAAGAGCAGTGCGATACCACCATCTGCAGGGAATACAAGACATTACTCTGCTGCACAGTGGACTTTTTTGAAATGAACTGTTGGTGTGTACATTTCTTTTTCTTATACAGTATGTCCAAAAAGCCACACATGGAAGAAGTATTCAGACCTTTTACTTAAGTATACAAGTACCATATGTAACAGTGGCCACAGTCAGAGTGATTAGAACAAAGTAGTAGTAGTAAAAATTATGTATAAAGTAAAGGTAAAATACGCACAGCACAGTGCTTCATCTGAAAAAATATTATTACAGAAGCCTTCACCCTGGGAGAATTTCAGTACAGGGCCCCAAATCTTACAAACACAACACCTCCACCCTCATCGTAGAATCTCAGTCTTTCCAGATGTGTTTGCCTTTTAATTTAACCATAAATCATATGTAGGAACAGAGTCCATCTTCCACATTAGTAAAATTAACTTCTTTGCAATCACCATACCAAATAAAACAGCCATTTTTTGGTATTGGCCAGCAGAGGAAAAGAAGCGAGTCACTCCAAAGATAGTTATGAGTGGATCAGGTTCCCAAGATTTCCCAAAAGCCTCAGAGAAACAGTGAAAAATGTTCTTCCAATATGTATACAATTCACTGCATGACCAGAAAGCATGTGCTAAATTGCTAATTGTAGATTTACAGCGGTTGCAGACTGGTGAAACTTCAGTAAAGAAGACAAAGTCTGACATTGATTGAACAGTTGTGTATATTTCTTAAACATTCATCCCAGACTTCATCTGTTAGTTTCATATTCAGCTCATCTACATGTGTCTGTTTGATCTTTAAGGTGTCCAGTGGGAAACTGCTCAGTAGGATCTCATAGAAATAACAACCCGCCCCCTGGTGGACAGGGTCAAACGTATTAATTGTGTGACGGCCCCAGGGCCTCCACTAGGGTTTGGTGTTGGTGTTGTTTATGTTCTTTTGTTCCAGAGTGCTGGTGGCTTGATTGGTCGTGGTGATTGGAGGCAGCTGGCCACTGTCTCCAGCCCTTTAAAACCCGCCCTCCTGGGAACTTGGGGCCGCAAGACAGCTGCAGTACATCCAGAATGCTGCTGCTCGGGTCCTGACCAGAACCAGGAAGTACATGCACATTAGTCCTGTGCTCAGGTCTTTACACTGGCTTTCTGTGGCTCAGAGAATAGACTTTAAAGCAGCTCTGCTTGTGTACAAGTCTCTCCACGGCCTAGCACCAAAGTACATCTCTGACATGTTAGTGCCATATGAACCATCTCGGACTCTGAGGACCTCAGGGACCGGCCTCGTGCTGGTGCCCAGAGTTAGGACTAAACATGGGGAATCAGGATTCCAGTTTTATGCAGCTAAAATCTGGAACAGTATTTCTGAAGATGTGAGACAGGCCTCTACTCTGACAATGTTCAAATCTAGGCTCAAAACAGCTCTATTTCACTGTGCATATGACTGAAAGGATCTTATCTGCACTCTTCTCTTTTAAAGTTCATTTTATAATGATTATTTATGTTTTTATTTTGTATTGTGATTTTAATGCATTTTCTTGTTCTGTAAAGCACTTTGAATTACTTTGTGTACGAATTGTGCTCTACAAATAAACTTGCCTTGCCTTGCCTTCTGGCACCATGCTGCGTTGATTGCATTTACTTGAGTTTTTGTATAGTTTAGTTTGCATTATCTTGAGCTGACCTGGCAGAGTGTTTTCTTGCCAGTTTCTCCTGTTTAATGGCTTAATACTTGGTTATATTGTTTATTCTTGAATTTTTGTTAAAATAAATTACTTATTTATATGTAACTCCCCATGTGTTTCCTTATTTGTGATGGTCTTAGAGCCATAACAATCGCCATTAGAGGCTCACATTCAGACAGTATTTCAAAGTCGGGCATATGCTTTCAGACATAATGAGGGATTTGCAGGTATCTAAAACAAAGACTTGATGCAGGCATATTGTGAACAGCTCTTAACTGTGCAAATCAGGCAAAGTTCCCCCTAATATAAAGGTCACCTATTTTACAAATGCCTCTCTTTTTCCAGGTAGAGAATACAATATCAGTTAAACCCAGTTTAAAAGACTGATTAGATTATATAGATTTTAGGAGCCTGTATATATTTTATTTATCTGTTTCCAGATTTTTGAAGTACTGTCCACTACAAAGCTGCTGTTAAAAAGTGATCTGCCAACAGCAGTGGGACTGAAGAGTTTGTAGTTGTTGGGGGACCTTTCTTTCTTCCACCATGCAAGAATGGATGAGTGAGCGGCCCAGTAATAGTAAAAGAAGCATTTTACTGTTAGAGCTGGTCAAGGTGGAGCTTGATTTAATCACCACATGTAGCCTACAGTTTCATATTTCAGTCTTTTAGTCCAGTGCCATGACTTGGTGAGCAGTGTGAAATTCAAAACCAGAAAAACAAGACCAGCCATCATGGCATCAGATAAGTGCCCATTTCTAACAGGCTTTGCCAGATCTCATTCAACCCCTTCTCCACAGAGAGGATGTTTCTATTCATATGCATGAGTGTTTTACACTGATGGAGACTGATACTGCTTCATCTGTAAAACTGTTTTTGTGATGTTTGGTGAAGTCAGGTAAAATGGGACAAATAAGATTTTTCATCCTGGGCTCTTTAATATTAGCAGCCACCACCACACATGTTACTGGCTTGTTACTCATTTTGATTGGTCTGAGATAACCAGGATGGGCAGAGCAAAGATCCAAAGAACCACTAGTCCCAAAACTTGCAAGGACGTGAAACGTAGTGAGTCCATGTCAGCCACAATAGTCCAGAATTAGCTATCACTGCTACACACACACACACACACACACCTGTATTTATGCACATCTCACGCAAGTGCACATACAATATGAGTATGCTCACTTGCATGTCTCCCTCACTCTCTCTCATGCACACACACACACCCTGGTAGAGGAGGGAAGAATACTCTTAAAGGATATATTAACACTTTTGATAGGCCTACCCACTGTAGCCATATGGCACCAAGGAAATGGGCAGTAAAAGAACAGAGAGAGTGTGGCAGAGAGGTAGGAGGAAAGTATGAAGGGTGCCATATTAACGAATTAATGCCTGAAGTGATAAGTGGATTTTACCATTTAAAAAATGAGCTAAATTGTTTTCTGTCCTTTTTAAACATCAGTAACTGTCCCATTTTATCTTATGTTGCCTACGTGGCGACGTGACAACTTCATGTGACAAGGTGACTGTGGACGGTATATATGTCAATGCATTCTCACTCCACCCTTGTCACATGTTGACGTTTGGTCATGGACTTTCCACGTCCATATGTGACGTGCAAGGTATCCTGGGTGTGCTGGTTGTTGATGTTCTGGGACAGTGTGTCAAGTTCTGCCTGTTACATGCATTGTCTTCTTTCAAAATACACTTCCGTTTTCACAGGAAATTTAAAGTTTACATACAGTCTCTTTCAAAATAAACACACCACGTTGGTACGACACTGTGAATTGACGTTTTCTTTCCTTAAACAACAAACACACGTGGTTAGGTTTAGGAAAAAAGAATTGGGTTTAGTTTTATAATTTTACAGGATGCAAACATCTCTCTCTCAGGTGAAAGTCTATGTTTGTGGGACCCATCCCTCCCGCCCGCCACAGTTGGACTTTCGCCACCTTAACTTTCATCCTTGTCATGCCGCATTTCCCCCTGACACTGCCAGGCGCCGTCAAACTAAAATGGTAACCAGTTGCATATCATGTTGATATTAAGAACGGCTTTTTTTTTGCTGTTTTTTTTTTGCAACTTATAATAATACAATTTTGACTTTTGGTTTCACACTGGACACAAACAGTTGTCTCCTGGGTCAAAGTCCTGTGTTTGTTTGGCCAATCCATATACACCCTCCCTTCACAGACTTTGTCGCTCTTTAGAGTACAGCACCTGACTTCCTGCTTTGCTTATGTCATATGGGAGCATTTGGGAGCAGCAGTAGCCCAGTCCATAAGGACATAACCAGAGGGTCACCGACTCAAGTACAGGGTGTGGACTGGTAGCTGTAGAGGTGCCGGCTGGTGTGTATCTGACAACAGAGTGAAAAACAACAAGTATTTCTTCTTCTTCCTCTTCCTCTCCCTCTTCGTCCTCTTCTTCTGCATATGAGGGAGGACAGCCTACAGCCCATAGGTCATGTGATCACAGCCACCTGCCTCCCAGTTACATGGATTAAATACAAATTATAGCACATTACTTTTAGTAGGTATAAGTCAACAGACGATTATGTAATGACCCCAAAACAGTAGTAAGAGTATTAAATAAAACCTCAAACAGAGAATTAGGTGAGAGAAACTGGACTTTAGTATAACACAGGGCAGAAAGGGGTGGATACAGCCTCACCTCTTCGCCCTGATAATGAATCTAACTGAATTAAATGAGAGTGGGAGGTGAGCGTGAAGGGCCGTCCCACCTGAGAGGGATGTCCCAGCTCAGCATTAGAACTCAGAGGCAAAACATATTTCACCCTCCCAGTGTTCAGACCTCTTTAGATATGGAGGATTTAGGACTGAAGTTTGTCTACAGAAATGGAATGATCAGTCAGAGTGAAGCTGTGGCTACTGCTTCTCCCAAAGTTACGTTATGTAGTTTCTGTTCAAAGTGGCTGAGATGCATCAAGAACTGGCTCCCAGTGGACTACAGAAGGGAGACGGTTCAACTTGTCAAACTAGCAGGGCCTGTGGTAAATATGGGATTCCTTTTGGATTTCGTTGTGTTATGTCGTGTTTGTTTAGCAATGTTTATCCTCAATTAAGTGATTTAAGGAAATGTGTTTTTTTTCTTGTATTTCAGGTCATTTCGCAATTGATGGTCTTTCTCATTAATTTTGTCAGCACGGTCTTCTGTGGTCACCTGGGGGAAAATGAGCTTGCAGGTGTGGCATTAGCAATAGCGGTGAGAAAACAGCTTTGCTTTCAGCCTCTTTTGTCACTCTTTCTGTATTTTGTTATCCACTTATCTATCACACAGCTGTGGAAGAAGCACTAAGATCTTTTACTTAAGTAAAAGAGGAAATACCACAATTTAAGAATACTTGATTATAAGTTAAACTCCTGCATCAAAACCTTACCTGAGTAAGCGTATGTATCATTACAATAACATTCTCACTATGCAGCCATAATGGGCTCTTTGTTTCATTAATATATATCATACATTTAGATTAATATTACTGATGCAGTAACATTTAAACAAATTTTGTAGCTGGCTGCTGTTGAGCTAATTTTACTCATGTTTGACACTCTTGGTTTAATGTACTGTACATCAGCACATTCTACTTTGTTTCCTCATAAAAATCCTAAGTTTACTACAAGTAACCAGTGACTGCCTAATATATGTTGTGGTGTAAAATGTATAAAGTAGGATTAGGATAAAATTTAATTACTCAAGTCATGGGTGGATTATGAGACAATGGGCCCCTGAGCACAGACATGTAAAAGGCCCCACCACCTGTCCTGCATAGACCTGGAAACACACTCAAAGACTTTGTGGTGATTTTGCCTCTTTTATTGTTGTTGTCATATTGTGTCATTTATAGTCATTTTATGTCACGTTCTTTGATTATTCCGCCCCATTTTTTGTTGTTTTCTGTCTCTTTGAGGTCATTTTGTGTCTCTTTGAGGTCATTTTGTGTTTTGGTTTTGTTTTTTAGATACTTTTGTACATTTTTTGGTCCTTTTGAGTCTATTTGTGATCATTTTGTGTCTCTTCTTCATTATTTGGCCCTTTTGCAGTTATTTTTTGTCTCTCTGAGGTCATTTTGTGTCTTTTTTTGGTTAATTTGTGTCTATCTGTAGTCATTTTGTGCCTTTTGTGGTTGCTCTTTTGCTGCTATTATTTGTCTCTTTGAGCTGATTTTCTGTTTGGTTTTGGTTTTTGAGTTAATTTGTGCATTTTTGTGGTCCTTTTGTGTCTATTTGTTGTCATTTTGTGTTTTTTCTTTTGTTTTGTTTTGTTTTTTAGATAATTGGGTGCCTTTTTTGGCCATTTTGTGTCTCTTTGTAATCATTCTGTGTCTCTTTTTAATTGTTTTGTCCCTATATTTATTTTGAGTCTCTTTGAGGTCATTCTGTATCATTTCTGGTTGTTTTGTATCTATTTGTAGTCATTTTGTGTCTCCTTTAAGTTTAAGTTGTGTCTCTTTGTGATGATTTTGTGTTTTTTTGTTTTTGTTTTAGAAGATATTTTATTTTTATTTATAGCCATTTTGTGTCACCCTTTAGTTGTTTTGTGTCTTTTTTTAGGTAATTTTCTTGTTATGGTTTTGTTTTTTAGATGATTTTGTGCCTTTTTTGGTCATTTTATGTCTATTTGTAATATATTTGTGTCTCTTTTTGGTTGATTTGGCCCTTTTGCAGATATTTTTGTGTCTCTTCTCTTCTTCTTTGAGGTCATTTTATGTCTTCTGGGCATTTTTTGTCTCCTTCTGTTTGTTTTGCCCCCTTTGTAGTTAGTTTGTATCTCTTTGCATCTCCTTATATTTTCTTGTGTATCTTCCTGGTCAGTACGTGTTAATTTCAGTGATATATTGCAGGTTACGCCCAGGAGGGGGGCCCTGACACTGTGGGCCCCTGGCCCTTTGCCCCATAGGCCGGTTCAGTAATCCATCCATGACTCAAGTAAAATAGTAGTGAGTGTTACTGCCATTACAGCATGATTTAGACAAGTAGTGACATTGGTTTTATGTTTTGCCTTTGTATGTGTGTGTGTGTGTGTGTGTGTGTGTGTGTGTGTTTTTGGATGCAGATTATCAATGTGACCGGTATTTCAGTTGGCACTGGTTTGGCATCGGCCTGTGACACCCTCATATCTCAGGTACAATCTTGGTCAGTGTTCTCACCTTTCCATCCAGAGCCCACCCCATTACTGTTCTGTTGTGTTTCTGTGTTCTCTCTCTGGGTGTGGCAGGCAGCTCCTTTCCTACAGTATTCACATGCACGTGTCTGATCTGTGTTCTGTGTCATGTAGACGTATGGGAGTGGAAACCTAAAGCGTGTGGGAGTCATTCTTCAGAGAGGTGTTCTGATCCTGCTCCTGGCTTGCTTCCCCTGCTGGGCTATCCTCATTAACACAGAGCCTTTGCTACTCGCTGTCAAACAGAGCCCGGAAGTTGCACGGTCAGCTTTCATTCACCAACAGAAAACATGTTGCACCGCATGTCCAAAAACAGTGGAGAACATGATTGCCAAACCTGAACATGTTAGGCAGCTCCAATATAAAAATAAGCCCCCATTTCTCCCACATTGCTGCAATTACATCCAATCCTACTGTCAGCCTGGTTGTAGCTTAAACCTGCAGCTATTTTTGCACTTGGGAAAAGCAGACAAGCAGGAATTACAACATAAAGATATAAGCCTGTCGATAGGCTGAATGCGTAGGCAAGCATTTACCTCTTTACACATCCAGCAGAAGCAACACCACCTGTCAAATATAATTTTAATATTCACTCTCCTTTTACCTCTGTTTCATATGGAAGCCTATTCCTGCCAGTGTAATGACAAAAACAACAAGATCCTGTGAGTCATTAGATCGAGGAACTTTCTCAAATAATGAGTTAGTATCGTCTCTCATTATTTTGAGATACTAAGTCATTATTTCGAGAACTTTCTCATTATAATGTCTTACAGGATCTTTTTTTGTCATCACAGTGGCGGAAATAGGCTTCCATAGTTTTAGTCTGCACCAGCTCCTGAGGGAAATATCCACCTCATTAGCCCCTGAATTCCCCCCAAGGTTCAACAGCTAGTCAGTCCCGTGTCTGCTGTTTGGTGCTGAAGGAACATTTTTGCATTTTTTTAAAATGAAATTTACCCCTTTAACTACCTATTTCTTACATTTGTTCAACATTAATTTCATCATCATTTTCAGTTTCATAAACGTACCTCTGTTTGTTTGTTCTCAGACTCTCCCAGCTGTATGTAAAGATCTTCATGCCTTCTCTGCCAGTGAGTTCAGTCTACACCAAGACACAACACCTCTGTCCTTTTCCCATTTCTTTGTATTTTTATATATTATTTACTCCTTTTCACGATCCTGTCTGCAGGCTGCCTTCATGTTCCAGCTGCAGGGGAGGTACCTACAGAACCAGGTACAGTTCATGTCCATACAAACACAGTGATAGCGGAAGTATTATTGTTAAGGTCAACACTGAGTCCATGTTGTGCTTTCATTGTCAGGGGATCATCTGGCCTCAGGTGATAATTGGAGCCATTGGAAATGTTCTTAATGCCATTATCAACTACATCCTCCTTTATGTGCTGGACATGGGTGTTGTGTAAGTGTACCCGCCACTAGAAGAAACATAATTAAGCTCTGTGATGTTTACTGTGCAGTAGGCCAAGCAAAATGTTTTCAGTTGAATCTGTGTCAATCATTTTTTTACGGTCAGGTTTTCACATATCACAGGTATGGATCAGAACCACTTTAGTCCATTTGCAGTATTATATTTGGCGGTATGGCTCTGTACTGGGGCCTCTCTGCCTTTCCTAGGCTTATGCAGAAAGCCTCTTCCACTTGCCTATGTGGAATGCCTAAAGCATAGAGAGTACATTCCCTTCATCTCCCTTCCATGTGCAAACAAGAAAAAGCCTTAACAGAAGAGAGGCAAACATCTCTGCCGTTCCATGCGCCTACATGAAAAGCCTAGGGCAGGGAGAGCAAACAGCAAAGACTCCTCGGGAACAGAACAGAGCAGCATCAGTTAGAAACAGAAATTACACTGATAGGGGCGCTGGTGGCTTAGTGGTAGAGCAGGCGCCCCATGTACAAGGCTGTTGCCGCAGCGGCCCGGGTTCGACTCCAGCCTGTGGCCCTTTGCTGCATGTCACTCCCTCTCTCTCTTCCCCATTCACACTTGTCTGTCATATACATTAAAGGCTAAAAAGCCCCAGAAAATATCTTAAAAAAAAAAAGAAAAAAAAGAAATTACATTGATAAGTCAGACGCAGCATGAAAAGGAGGAGCTGGGGTGGAGGCGGTTGCAAAGCAGCTTGCAGAGGAAGCAGCAACAGTAGGCAGGCCAGAGCAGATTAATAGGGCGCCCTGAATGAGATTTGCCAACTGGTTGCATAGAAAGGAATCATGTGATCTTTCAGCTGACTCCATCAGTTTACTGGGCTGTTTGAGATCAGCTGATGTAGCTGGGATGTGAGCTGAGCTTGACATTGTGTCCTGCCTGAACTAACGCTATGCTCCATTTGTGTTTTAGCGAGTCCCTGCTGTGTTTTCATCTGCTTTTTAGGCTTCAAATGCAGGTGTTTTGTAGCCACCTGTTGGCAGTGATAGTGCCAACTGCACTTGATTTTTACTGAGACATTGCTGCGTCCCCTGCTGGGATTGTGCCCCCAAAAACGAGTAATTTAAAGCAAAACACGTTATTTTCCTAACCTTAACTTAGTGTTTTTTGTGCCTAAACTTAACCACATGTTAACCACAGTGTTGTGAAGTTTCCACTAAATGCAAATATAACAAATCTGTGGTTTGCAGAAACAAATTATACCAACATTTTTTCTGACGATTGGGTTGTATAAACTCACACTCTTATACGTCTTAAACTCACTACAGTGGATCTGCAGCAGCAAATGCTGTCTCACAGTCAACTCTGGCTCTGATGTTGCACATCTACATCTACTGGAAGGGGTTACACAAGGCAACATGGTCTGGTGAGTTTTCTCCTTTTATTCATTTTAGAAATTCTTAGTGCTGATCAGATGAATAATTTCTAATCCTGTGCTGTGATGGCATATGATCTACAGCTCAGCTCTACGTCTTCTGACCTTGTTAAACTCCGCACCCTCTAGGTTGGTCGCTGGAGTGCCTGAAGGAATGGGGTCTGTTCACCCGGATTGCCATTCCCAGCATGCTTATGCTCTGTCTGGAGTGGTGGACTTTTGAAATCGGAGGATTGTTGGCTGGTGTGATCAACAAGGCTGAGCTGGGAGCTCAGTCAGTTGTGTATCAGCTGGTTGCTATTACGTTCATGGTAATTCTACTAAAGTTTATTTTTGATACAATCAGGACTGCAAATTGCCTTTGTATGTATTCTGCACTGATATGTGTTCATTTCTATGTGAAATTTCGGATATTTCCTAAATATTTTTTAATTGATCATATGTTATTCTTCTACTGACTGAAAGGTCGGCTAATTCATAATCCTAAATCCTACATTTTGGTGGTTATAGGTCAAAGGTTCAGGTCACTGTGACCGCTTTTGTCCCTTTCTTATGAACATATCTCAAGCACACTTTAAGGGAATTTCCTCAGATTTAGCACAAATGTTCACTCGGACATTTTGGTGGCCAAAGGTCAAGGTCACTGTGACCATACATCTGTTTCTTTCTCGTGAACACCATACCTCAAGAGAACTTTCAGGGAATGTCTTCTAATTTGACACAAACATCCACTTGGACTAAAGAATAAACTCATTAGAATTGGTGGTCGAAGGTCAAGGGTCAAGGTTTGGCAAGAACTCAAACATTTTTACGCTAATTATGACAAAACTTTACACAAATGTCTAATAGGATATAATGTTGAGGTGATGGCATTTTCTATCCAAAGGTCAAAGGTCAGGACATCATAAACTTCTACATAAAACACCTTTCTGACCATGATTCATCATCGTATCTCAGGAAGGGAGGGAAAGACTTTTGATTAGCTATTGAATTGGTGACACTAATCTTGGGTGTCCACCTTGAAACTGCCCCATTTGAATAGATCTAGAACTTAACTAGCGTGCAGAGGCATAAAACCACAGGGTCGCAGTTCTAATTTCCTAGTTTTCCCAAATGATGTACAGATGTTTAGGTGTTCTAGTGTCTTAAAAGGCTTATTTAGAACAAAAAAATTTAGGTTTTGGACAAAAATAGGGACAAAATTTGACCTTGGGGGATCATGGCCCCTGATTCACTGAGGTTTAGCCTGAGCCCTAAATATCTACAGTGTCTGGCTTCCCTGCCTCTGATAAAGTATTGCCACATTTGCAGTTTGAAATTGTTCCTTTTTAAAAATAAATCTGTATCCCTTTCTCCATCATAGGTCCCGATGGGATTCGGGGTAGCAGCCAGCGTGCGGGTTGGGAATGCTCTTGGTGCTGGAAACGTTGAGCAGGCCACGGCAGCTGGCAAGGTCTCCGTCATCTGTGCATGTAAGAAAGAAATGCACCCATATAGGCCACCTCCTATCCACAGAAAACTCACTTATAGCACAGTCAGTGCTGCATCAAGTCATGTCAGGACCTTATAGAGTCACTCGGTCAGGATAAAATAGCATGAAGTATATATGTGTTAGTTACTTTAAGCTTTTAAAGTTTGTAATTCTTAAAAAATATTGCCCAGATTTGTTTATGCTGTAGCTTTGTCTGTGTTCTTCCAATATTCAATCCAGTTGCAGTCTCGTGCCTTGTTGGACTTATTCTCGTGACATCTAAGGATGTGATTGGTTACATCTTTACAACAGAAAAGTGAGTATGGACTGTTGAAGTGTATTCTTGTGTTCATCAGTCTCTTATGTAACTGTAACTTCAGCTATATGTGTCAGTGTTGATTGTTGTTTCATGTGTTGAATTCCCAAGAGACCCTTTGAGAAAAGAAAAAATGCAAAGCCTTTACAGAATATGATATTTGTTTAAAAAAACCCTGTCTTTGCACAAATGATGCATTTCTGCTCCTAATATTAAGCTGTTTGCACCTTTTAGAGAAATAGTTCAGCGTGTTGCTGATGTCATGATCATATATGGATTCTTCCATCCTGCAGATGCCATGGCGGTAAGGGAGTACTAATCATCATGAGAATTTGTTATCATGTCAAAGCTACGCCCAGCAGACAGAGCCTGATAGCTGTGTTTGATGTGCGCAGGCTGTGACGGGGGGCATCATACGAGGAACGGGGCAACCGAGGATTGGGGCCATCTATAACTTGGTGGGATATTACTTCATCGGCATTCCTATCGGAGTGTCCCTGATGTTTGCGGCAAAAATGGGCATCCTAGGTGAGAGCAGAGGAGCTGGTGATGCTGCCATGTAACATAGAAGTCTTGTCTGAGTGCATTTTCTTTGTCTGTGTTGCAGGACTGTGGTTGGGGCTTTTTATTTGTGTCACTCTGCAGTCCATATTTTTTGTCATTTTCTTGTATAAACTAAACTGGAGGAAGGCTGCTGAAGAGGTGAGTGACCACACTGTAACACTGCATGAAAAAATGATGGATAACTAAAAGGAATTTCAGTATTTTCCTGAGAGTTCAACATAAAGAATTACACTGTAGAGTACAAGTTTTGCCTTAGGTTCCTATTAGACAGGAGTGCTTTCACTTGTTCTTGAATTAAGGAGTGGAGTGGAAACTAGTCAGAAGGGATTTCTTGCATGATGCATCATGGAATTTCACAATTTTGAGCAAGATTTAGAACCTAATTTCAGCTTTATAGGTACAAATTTGCTAAGAATAATGTACTGTACCTTGCACGATTTGGGTTTTCTTTGTCTTTGACTACTAGGATGCTAAGGTGACCAGCAGAGGTTTAGTGGTAGTTGATGAGATGGGTGTAAAGTTTGGTAGATGTTACAGAGCAGGAGGAGGTTATACTCTCCCATATATTCCAATGGCTTTTTGGCTGGTAAGTGGGTATACTGTAAACAGCCAGAAAGAGGACTGGTTGCAGATTGCAGCCAGCTGAAACACCTCCTGGTTAAAATTCCTTCTTTGTTTGTTGCTCAGGAGGTTTTTTCCTGGAGCTGAATTATCTGCAGAGGTCTCTTTCTCCCCAAAACAATTAGATCGAGTGATTAAGATCAGTAAAAACACTGAATAAAGCAGTTTCACGTCACAAATCAGTGTTTCTCCAGTGCTGTTTGGCACGTCACAGAGGGGCTGCTAGCCCAGCACCTGCTAATGTGTGCTCACCTTTTTTCTCTGATAATTTGAGATCCAAACTCTCAGGAGGTTTTTACCAGGAGCTGAATTATCCTCAGAGTTCTCTTCCTCTCTGAAACAAATGGACCTTGTGATTTAAATTGGCAACTACACTGAATAAAGCAGTTTCACATAAAAATCAATGTCTTTCCAATGCTCTCGTCACAAAGGGGCTGCTAACTTGCTCACAGAATAGGTTGTTGCTTCACATTCACTTCACAAACTTAGACAGTCTACCACCTTTATGGCTGTTTAAATGCCTTATTTCTGATCTTGTTTTAATTGAGTGTTAATACTTTTAATTATACATCTACACCTTAATATGTTTATCACCCTGTGTTTCTACTTTTAGCGATCAGTCATTGCTATTTTTGTTTGTTGTTTCCTTTGATTTCTTATCTGTTTAATTGATATGCATGACGGTTCTTTGTTTGCTTATTGATCATTTTTAATGTCTTTATTAATGCTCAGCATTATTGAAAATGAGGATCTCCTTCAACTGATTTCCTGAGTCTTAAATAAGGGTTTTAATTAATGAAAACTGCTGTGGCTAATGCTAAAACGTGAAAATGCAAAAGGCTTTATCTGGAGTCAGTGTTTTGTTTGTCCGTACTGTGCTACTGTAGAAACATGGTGGTGCAACATGTGGATGAGAACCCGCTCCCTGTGTAGATATAACAGGCTCATTTAAGCTAACAAAAACACAATGATTCTTATTTTCAGGTGTTTATGCACTTAAGAAAACATACTTACTGTATTATATTGCATTTTTTGCCAATACGTCCCTCTAAATCCTACACACTGGACCTTTAAGTTCAGTTTTCTTGTCATGAAGACTACTGTTAGCAAGTTTTGCTATGGAAGTGATTTGAAGCAAGTTTTGTAAATGAAAAACAATCTTACTATATAATGACGAAAACTCTGTCTGTGTGTCTGTTCCACGTTTTTCTCCTCACTGACTTGGTCAATCCATGTGAAATTTGGCACAGTGGTAGAGGGTCATGGGAGGATGCGAATGAAGCATTATTACATCAATTGGCCAAAGGGGGGCGCTATAGCAACCTATTGAAATTGCAAACTTTGAATGGGCATATCTCATGCCCCGTATGTCGTAGAGACATGAAACTTTGCATAGAGATGCCTCTCCTCATGAGGAATAAATTTGCATCAAGAACCCATAACTTCCGGTTATAAAGATTTTCCGCCATTTTGAATTTTTTTGAAAAACACTCTTCCTAGGAAGTTTGACCGATCTGCATGGAGCTCGGTGAACATAATCTAGGGACCAATATCTAAAGTTCCCTCTTGGCAAAAGTTGGAAAACTTACTAAAACTGAGCTTCTATATGGCAATGAATATTGTGGATGGTGTGGCTCATCACATAAAGGTGTATAACATCTCAAGAGTTTCACCCATCACCACGCAACTTTGTAGGCATATGACCACACATAATCTGAGGGCACCCCTCCATTATTGACCCCATCAAACAAAATGGGGGCGCTAGAGAGCTAATTTCTTATCTAGGCCTAACCGCCATATCGATTTTTACTAAACTTGGTAGATATGTAGAACAGGACGCCTCAAGGTGACTGGAGAAATTTAACTCTAATTGGCAACTGGGTGGCGCTATAACAACAGAAAAATGCTTCAAAATGGCTAAAATGCGACTGATCACTGTGGCTCCCCCTGTGGACCAATATTTGTTTGTTTTTTAATTTTTGGTATGACTAAGTCATGGTATGGTATGCTGTACATAATGACGGAAACTGTCAGTGTGTCATTCTGTCAGTGTGTCATTCTGTCTGTCCCACGTTTTTCAAAAACTCTGTCTGAATACATTGCTCTTCTTAATGGGTTCAGTTGACTATTTAATCTGCAATTTCCTATGACCTGTATCCCACACCATGTGAAACTGTACATGGGCAACTGTGCACTCAATGGGTATGGACTAGTTTGTTATTATGAGGTCAAAACCTGCAAATCCACCAGTGAGTGTTACCTTGTGCACACACTACCTGGTCTCTTCTGCCCTCTACAGTCACAAGTAGGAAATGACACTGGACACTAACATCTCAGACAAATAAATGATCTTGTAACTGCAACTTAAAATGTTACTGCAGTGTAATAGTCAGTGTCCATGTACAGACGATGTACAATATTTGCTTGTGATGTGTATTACAAACAGCTGTCATTATTGTGTCCGAGCAGGCGATGGTGAGAGCAGGAGTCCAGGTCACAGACAAGAAAGATGTGCTAGCACTGGAAAACAAGGGTAAGTACCTGCTCACTTCCTTTTTATTGCAAACATGCATCCTGTGCAGAACAAACACAACTAACTCCAGTCTCCCTCTCTCTGAACAGGACGTGCCCACACTGCTCAAAGAGAATCTGAGGTCACCATCATTTCATCTAACGTCCTGAGCTACGAGGAGTGTAACTCAGACCTGCAGGTGCTCACTCCAGGCTGTGATGATGAAGCAGCCGGTGCTGCAGTGTCACGGCCTCTGCTGGTCAGACAGCTGCTGGTGTGTCGTGGCCTGACTGTGCTGTTCATGGTGCTCATCCTTGCAGCTGGGATATTCACCAGCAAAATGCTTCTCAAGCTGCTCAGATGACAGACCCTATACTGACTGCTGGTTGTCTCACAGCTGTGTGGCATCATTTTGTGACACAGCAGACAAAGTCATGCGTTAAAAACAGGCTCAATTTATTCTCCCAGAGTCAGCAAAGTAATATATTATTTCTTTATGATCTCCACATTTCATACGCTTTGAGTTTGATTTGTTTGAATAAAAGTAAATTATTAGTTACAATGTCTGTGCTTTGTAATTAATGTAACAGCATACCTTACATGTGTCCCAACAAGGCAGGTGTGTTTTTGGTTTCCATGCAATGCAGGCTTACATAAAATAAACATAACACACTGCAGACCTGCTTTTAAAAGAGCCACTGATCCATTGCTGAAAATAAAACCGTGATTTTTTTTTTTAATTTTGTTTGTGTCTGTTTTCCTTAAAAGCCATCTTAATATTAAACTCATGGGATTTTACTGTGTCTGCATTACTATCAGAGTGCCCCTGATGTTTACTGCCAAAACAGGTGAGGACAGAAGAGATACTGAAGCTGCCGTGTAACTTGAAAGTCATGTTTGAGGCAGGTTTGAGTGCATTTTCTTCTCAGCCGCAGGACTGTGATTGGGGCTTTTTGGTTGTGTCACTCTACAGTCCACATTTTTTGTCATTTTGTTCTGTAAACTAAATTGGAGAAAGGCTGCTGAAGAGGTGAATGACCACATCTTGAATCAATAATAAGAAGGAATGTTAGTGTTTTACTGGGGTTTTACAGAGACTGCAACATAATCATACTAATAGTAATCATGGTGCTTTTCAAAACTGAGTTACGAAGTGCTTTACATGTCAATAATTAAAACAGACAAGACATGAAAACAACTTTTAAAAGAACTGATAAAAACACTTCAGTATATAGTTTGCTGATCCTGTAAATTTATTTATCTCCTTTAACTTTAGCTTACATTGTAGTTATGCTATGTAGTGTGTGAAATAGAGTATGGTGAATGTGCTAGGAAAGGTAGTATCAGCACTGTCTCTACCTGGAGCTCACATGTACGGAGCCTGGGTTTGTTGAAGGTGGCAGTGTTGTTTGGGCTGAGAAAGCCATGTGTAAGTAACGTAAAGGAGGTTATTGGGTTGGTGCGGGGAGCACTTAATACTTAGCACTTAGTAGCAGAACTACTAAGCAGAGTACGTAACTCCTTGAGATCAGGTGGAGAGATCCACTTCCTCTCAGTAGGAAATCCAGGAAGAGGAAGGTTATTTAAGTGTGGGAGTGGCCTATTTGAATCCCTTTTGTTTGAGACCATACTGCAAGGTGAGTGTGTTTGCTGATCCTGTAAGTTTATTTATCTCCTTTAACTTTAGCTTATATTGGAGTTATGCTATGTAGCGTGTGAAATAGAATATGGTGAATGTGCTAGGAAAGGTAGTATCAGCACTGTCTCTACCTGGAGCATGCGTTTAATATTATTCGGCTTCGGCCACAAATTTTCATTTCGGTGCATCCCTACATAATAGCTTATCATAGGGCTTAGGATGTTATTCACTGAGTGCTGATCCTTTCTCTAGAGCACAAACTTCTTGTGTTTATTTGAATTGAATAGAAAAACTGAGAAAATAAATGGACTTAAAACTCAAATAAAATCAGGAAAGTCTCTCTGATAAAAATATGTTTTAACAGGGGACTTAAAAGAGGCTGATTTCCTCAGGCAGACTCAAAGTACATCCTGGCATGCACAGCACTAAGAGGTCAGAGATATAGCAGCAGATCCTCATATTGGAGAAGCGACAGATTTGCACTTTTGCTTGAAGAAATACAAAATGCTTAATTGATTCTCAATTATTTTAAAATTGTCAATTCCGACTCAATTAATCAACTCATTGCTTCAGCACTGAATTATCTTGCCTATGCACATTTCTCTTCATTTAATGGGATATGTTGTGCAGTAGTAATATGAGTTGATAATGATATACACCAGCATGCAAAGACTTTATGTGACCTATAATGATGGGATGAGACTGCTTCTTAAACTTCCACGATGGTGCAGTGCCGGCCAAATGTTTGGTGTGCCTACCTGCCCTGCTTTAAAAGAAATCTTATATAGCGATATATGTGCAGGCGGGTGCAGGTTTCATCGAGACTGTGGGGCCACTGGCTCTCCAGCTTGTTTGTGAGTGCAGTTTATTGAGCTTTGTCTTTTTTATATGAACTTGCATAATGTAGTGTTGGGTATTTCTTGTCTTTAATATATGATATTGTATTTTTGTACATAGATCATTGTCAGTTTTTATATGGTATGCTCTGGACCTTTCTCTGTGTCCTTAGTAAAGTTATTATTATCATTATTATTATTATGCTAACAATTATTTGAAACAATTAAGTATTGTTATTTTTTGAAACTGACACAAGTTTTTTTCAAGTTAAAGAAAAGCAGTCAGAAACTGATTTTTACAGCAGCTGCATGTCACCCAAAGGTCTCACGAAAGCACCAAGGAGATGTGGGCGAGTTTACAGGGAGCATTTGAATGCAGCATACATGTGTCGGGTCTGAAAGTGTTAACTCTCAGTGCTCCGCCTTCTCCTGCTCATTCACTGACATAAACAAGGAAATATGTCTCTCTACAAACGAATTATCTCTCCTAAGACTCTGGGCTTTTAGGTCAGCCCTCGCTTTTGTTTCTCATCAAGGTTTCTTCTGCTGTAGATGCATCTGCAGTAGTTTAGTGCTGCGTTCACTGTCTGAGCACTGTAGCTTTAATGCTGTAAAACTACAACACGTGGATTTACGAACCGGCGTTTTTACTCGTCACAGAGCCTCCAGCCTCAACGAGGAATCGGTAAGTAGACAAAAACGATATATAAGTCAACGCCTATAATGTGTGGGGTGTGTTACAATGTGAATGACCGGACTTTGAACGTTAACTGAGTTGTACTGAAGCGGCTGTGACAGCTGGACAGTGTAGCCGCTGTTGGTTATACTCCTCCGCGCATGCGCCGTGCCCTCCGCCGGGGCATGATGCAGCTGTTTACGGTGAGGGAATTTAAGACACAATACAAACATAAATGTTAGTTTACTGTGTTAATTTTGTGTTTAATTCACAACACGACTGTCTAAATGGCTAATGTTTGTGCCAGCCTCTTTACTGACCTGAGCATTCACTGAAACAACCGTTAACCAGCTGTTTGTTAACCGGAGAGTGTAAAACGATACACAGCCACTGGAAATGTTTAACTCCCAGTGATATCGAAGGAGAAAAAACGATTACAGGTGGTTGTAAATAGACAAAAATATGATTTAATGCTACCCAAGTGGAGTAACGTTAAGGGCTTTCGGAGGAAAAGCTAGCTACAGTTGTAGCACTGCAGTTTCCAGCAGTTAGTAGGTGTCCTGAACGCAGCCGTTAGTAGTTGGATGAACATAGAAAGCCCAGAGGACATTTATCAGTTATTATAAACTAGTCCATACCCATTGGTAGCTTTGTCACCTTCTACCTTTGTCAGTCCTCAATGCCTATGTGCAGTTTCACATAGATTGACCACGTCAGTGAGTAGAAAAACGTGGGACAGACAGAATGACTGACTGACAGAATGACACACTGACAGTTTCTGTGATTATGTACAGCATACCATACCATGACTTAGTCATACCAAAAATTAGAAAGAAAACCCAAAACATTGGTCCACAGGGGGAGCCACAGCTATCGGTCACATTTTAGCCATTTTTAAGCATTTTTCTGTTGTTATAGCGCCACCCAGTTGCCAATTAGAGTTAAATTTCTCCAGTCACCTTGAGGCATCCTGTTCTACATATCTACCAAGTTTAGTAAAAATCGATATGGCGGTCAGGCCTAGATAAGAAATTAGCTCTCTAGCGCCCCCATTTTGTTTGATGGGGTCAATAATGGAGGGGTGCCCTCAGATTATGTGTGGTCATATGCCTACAAAGTTGCGTGGTGATGGGTGAAACTCTTGAAATGTTATACACCTTTATGTGATGAGCCACGCCCTCCGCAATATTCATTGCCTTATAGAAGCTCAGTTTTAGTAAGTTTTCCAACTTTTGCCAAGAGGGAACTTTAGATATTGGTCCCTAGATTATGTTCACCGAGCTCCATGCAGATCGGTCAAACTTCCTAGGAAGAGATCGATTTGAAGTGTTTTTCAAAAAAATTCAAAATGGCGGAAAATCTTTATAACTGGAAGTTATGGGTTCTTGATGCAAATTTGTTCCTCATGAGGAGAGGCATCTCTGTGCAAAGTTTCATGTCTCTATGACATACGCGGCATGAGATATGCCCATTCAAAGTTTGCAATTTCAATGGGTTGCTATAGCGCCCCCCTTTGGCCAATTGATGTAATATTGCTTCATTCGCATCCTCCCATGACCCTCTACCACTGTGCCAAATTTCACATGGATTGACCAAGTCAGTGAGGAGAAAAACGTGGAACAGACACACAGACAGAGTTTTCGTCATTATATAGTAAAAAGATTAAACTCAATTGATATTTGGCCTCTGTAGGCATTTGATAGTGCCATATCTTCTGACTGCACCTGATTAATAATAATAAAAAATGCTAAAGAGAAACTTGAGTACGGTAAAATTTAAAGTTCACAGTGGTTTATTTGTCAAGTGAGCAACAGTTGCAAGAGCATGATCTGTCATTGAAAGGATTGGATCTAATACTCCCTCTAACATTGCAATTTAAATATAATAATAATAATAATAATGATAATAATAATCACACAAGCTGAAACAAAAGGGGAATCTAGATATAAGGATATAAAGTAGTGTGGTAAAAGGTAAAATAAAGGATAAGATATTAAAAAAAGAAGTAAGTGATATAAAGGAAGGAGTGTGCAGCTGTAGTAAAATGCATACACATGCATAACTGTGAAATACCTACAAATGATACATGCAGTAATGCAAATAACCTGTCTGTTTATTATATCTTGCTTTTATTTCTCACTGCCCACAATAACTGGGACAAATTGTAAGTCACATATTACCTCAATTCTCGCCTTCCTCCACTGGTTCCCTTTTAACTTCAGAATTGATTTTAAGATTCCTTTAATATCTTTTAAAGCTCAACATGGTTTAGCCCCCAGTTATTTAGCTGAGCTTCTCACTACCTGTGCTCCAAGTCCTGACCTGCGATCCTCCAGCCTGCCCTCACTAATCGTACCATGATAAATGCTAGTAACTAAAGTCGACTGGGCTTTTGCTATCGAGGCCCCGAGGCTCCGGAATACTCTGCCTGGGGAGATTAGGCTGGCTAGCATGTTACCTGTTTTTAAATCATTGCTTAGAATATACAGTACAGGCCAAAAGTTTGGACACACCTTCTCATTCAATGCGTTTTCTTTATTTTCATGACTATTTACATTGTAGATTCTCACTGAAGGCATCAAAACTATGAATGAACACATGTGGAGTTATGTACTTAACAAAAAAAAGTGAAATAACTGAAAACATGTTTTATATTCTAGTTTCTTCAAAATAGCCACCCTTTGCTCTGATTACTGCTTTGCACACTCTTGGCATTCTCTCCATGAGCTTCAAGAGGTAGTCACCTGAAATGGTTTTCCAACAGTCTTGAAGGAGTTCCCAGAGGTGTTTAGCACTTGTTGGCCCCTTTGCCTTCACTCTGCGGTCCAGCTCACCCCAAACCATCTCGATTGGGTTCAGGTCCGGTGACTGTGGAGGCCAGGTCATCTGCCGCAGCACTCCATCACTCTCCTTCTTGGTCAAATAGCCCTTACACAGCCTGGAGGTGTGTTTGGGGTCATTGTCCTGTTGAAAAATAAATGATGGTCCAACTAAACGCAAACCGGATGGGATGGCATGTCGCTGCAGGATGCTGTGGTAGCCATGCTGGTTCAGTGTGCCTTCAATTTTGAATAAATCCCCAACAGTGTCACCAGCAAAACACCCCCACACCATCACACCTCCTCCTCCATGCTTCACAGTGGGAACCAGGCATGTGGAATCCATCCGTTCACCTTTTCTGCGTCTCACAAAGACACGGCGGTTGGAACCAAAGATCTCAAATTTGGACTCATCAGACCAAAGCACAGATTTCCACTGGTCTAATGTCCATTCCTTGTGTTTCTTGGCCCAAACAAATCTCTTCTGCTTGTTGCCTCTCCTTAGCAGTGGTTTCCTAGCAGCTATTTGACCATGAAGGCCTGATTTGCGCAGTCTCCTCTTAACAGTTGTTCTAGAGATGGGTCTGCTGCTAGAACTCTGTGTGGCATTCATCTGGTCTCTGATCTGAGCTGCTGTTAACTTGCTATTTCTGAGGCTGGTGACTCGGATGAACTTATCCTCAGAAGCAGAGGTGACTCTTGGTCTTCCTTTCCTGGGTCGGTCCTCATGTGTGCCAGTTTCGTTGTAGCTCTTGATGGTTTTTGCGACTCCACTTGGGGACACATTTAAAGTTTTTGCAATTTTCCGTACTGACTGACCTTCATTTCTTAAAGTAATGACGGCCACTCGTTTTTCTTTAGTTAGCTGATTGGTTCTTGCCATAATATGAATTTTAACAGTTGTCCAATAGGGCTGTCGGCTGTGTATTAACCTGACTTCTGCACAACACAACTGATGGTCCCAACCCCATTGATAAAGCAAGAAATTCCACTAATTAACCCTGATAAGGCACACCTGTGAAGTGGAAACCATTTCAGGTGACTACCTCTTGAAGCTCATGGAGAGAATGCCAAGAGTGTGCAAAGCAGTAATCAGAGCAAAGGGTGGCTATTTTGAAGAAACTAGAATATAAAACATGTTTTCAGTTATTTCACCTTTTTTTGTTAAGTACATAACTCCACATGTGTTCATTCATAGTTTTGATGCCTTCAGTGAGAATCTACAATGTAAATAGTCATGAAAATAAAGAAAACGCATTGAATGAGAAGGTGTGTCCAAACTTTTGGCCTGTACTGTATTTTGAAATCTTTCCCTTTTAATGCCTGATTTATACTTTTTTGATTTGTAGCTTTTGTGTTTTATTTCCTTTGCTTTGATGTCTTATTTCTATGCACTTTGTGAAGCAATATCAGTATATGCTAAATTGTGCAATCCCTGTACTGTCCCATCAGCCAATAATGTGAAATCGGCCATTACGTCTGTCTCTTTATTATATTTTGCTTCTTTTGTATTGCTCTGTGTTTTTCTGCTGTTTACTTATGATATTTCTTTTTGTTTTGTACAGTTTACTTATTACACTGAGCTGTGTTTTTCTTTTTACTGATATGTACTGATATATTGCTTTGTGTTTTTTTTCCCCTACTGATGCTTTCTGTTTGCACTATCCCTCTGCTGCTGTGTTGTTGCAAATTTCCCTGCTGTGGGACAAAGGATTATCTCATCTCATCTCATGTTATCTTAGCTTAGTTTAGCTTAGCTTAGCTTAGCTTAGCTTAGCATCAGTTTAAAGAAGGTGCAGTGACGTGTAATGTAAAGTGACAGTGATCAGAGTGATGAGGTGGCTATCCAATAATATGTCCTTTAGCTCTGACAATAATGTATCACCCACAATCATGCCAATAAAGGTTATTTGAATTGAAATGAAAATACGAATCATCTTGAATTCAACATGGGCCTGCTCTCCATTTTAGTATGTTGTGTTTTTGGTACTTAACACTCACCTGACAGAGTTATTTGCTCCTGTCTGTTGCAGTTTGTATTATTAACATGTGTCCACAAACTTAAGGAGCTCCAAACATCTGAAATGTTTTAGCAGCAGAGGTAGACCATAATACCAACACATATTATAATGTTTCCTGGATCAAAGCCAGCAAAAGCAGTTCAAAATCTTTTTACCTGTCACAGAAAATATGGACTACCGGCCAGACGACAACACCAGGTACAAAGACGTCGACTACTGGGATGAAAGATACAAGACGGAGCAGTGTTACGACTGGCTGGGCGGCTTCTCCAAAATGGAGCACCTTCTGGAAAAACACATCCAGAAAGAAGACTCCATTCTGATACTGGGTTAGTAGTTTTATATTGTTCCAATGTCTACACAAAGTCGATGATTCAGCATCACCCTGAACATAATGTCACCATATAGGGAACCCCAGTTCGAGTCAAGCTGGGCACTCTTGTTGCAAGTGCCTGTGGATATTCTCATTCATCCAGGTCATAGTTATCTCAAGGCAATTGAATCGAATGCAACTGGACTTGGTTTTGCCTTAGGACAAAACCAAGTCCAGTTGCATTCGATTCAATTGCCTTGAGATCTTGTTGCAAGTGTTTCCCCCCTCCTCCTGTCATCTGTCTGTCTTGTGGTGTGAAAGGCACCATTGAACATGAGTGTCACATGCCATCATTACGGTTTTCAGTGCTGTCATCAGCACCATCTATACTTGGGTTAAATCCCTCAAGGCAGCCATTTGTATGGAATTGTCCTTATAGTTGGAGTGATAGAAGTGTCCAAAGTGCTTCTACTGTATAAGTATCAATAGATTTGACACCTAGATGTGCTGACATCTGATGCGGGAATTGTGTGAAAATGTTCAATACTTTTGCCAATACAGTACCTGAACTTTGGTGCCACTATCAAAACAATCCTTTGTTGGATACCTTGCCCATTACATGAAACATGATTTTGTACAAAACACATTTAAACAAGAGAAGCTAAACTTTTTAAATGTTGTCTAACACCAGCAGCCACACAAGAACCTAAAAAGCTGAAATAAAACACAGTTTAGAAATGTTCTGTTGGGAAACCTTGGTTCCTGGCATTCATGTGGAAGCCACTTGACACGCACAACCCACCCAACCACTATCACGGGTCAAGTACACCCCTTCGTGTCAACAGCACTACCCGATGGCACTGGCCCCCTAACAAGACAGTGCACCTCACACCATAAAAACTGCTCAAGAATGACCTGACGAACATGATAAAGAGCTCAAGCCGTCAACCTGGCCTCCAAATTCCCTGGATCCCGATACAATCGAGCATCCGTGGGACATGCCGGTACTCCAGCGCCAAATCTCATCTACCTTGAGGCCTCTTTGGATTCGACTTTGCTCTTACTTGTTGAGGCATGGACACAGGACCTATGGGGTGTCCTATGGTGTCTGGCACTAAGGCGTTGGCAGCGGATCCTTTGAGTTTTATAGGTTGTGAGGTGGGGCACTGGAATGTCCCACGGATGCTCAGTCAGATTGGGGAATTTGGAGGCCAGATTGACACTTGGAGCTCTTTTGTCATGTTCCTCAGACCATTCCTGAGCAGTTTTTGCGATATGGCAAGGCACATTGTCCAGCTGGGGGGTCACTGCCATCGGGTAGTGCAGTTGACATGAGGGGCATTCTTGGTCTGTAATGGTGTTTGGGTGGGTGGAGCATGTCAAGCGGCATCCACATAAATCCCTGGGACCAGTTGCACTAAACACCTTAAGTTTTCTCCTTAAGTATGACTCTTAAGGCTTAATTTCTCCTTAGCTGAGGGACTAACACAGTTGCACGGAATCCCTTAAAAGGTTTTCTTAGTTAAGGAAAAATGTTTACTTACTGCTTTGAAAGATTTTACAGTGGTAAAAAGTTTCTGTGGAGATTGTTTGTTTGCTTGGACTCGTGCTTCTGATGCCTGTTATTGTCTCATGAAGTTAGCTTATGGTTAGACAGTGAAAAAATGGCAAAAGAAAAGAAGACAAGAAAACCCTATTGGTCAGAGGAGGAAAAGATTATACTTCTGGAGGAATACAATCATAGAAAGTAAAACTACAAAGTAAATTTGATCCCCAAATACCAGAAAACAGGAAATGATTGTAGGAAGAAAATTCAACGAAAATGAATTCAGTCAAATCTAAAGTGTTTAATCAGGAATGTATCCACTGGATTATCCTGGTCGCAGAGCACTCTTCTCGGGATGTGTTAGTTTTTTTCATTTATCACCATAAACTCGGTCATGTTGCAGTTAAGATAGAATCCAAGGTACCTCAAGTTTTTATTTACCTTGCTTTGGCTGCAGAGGTCTTTTGTGTAACTGTCCAGGGATTCCTTAAGTATGAGACCAAGAAAAGGAGAAAACCATAAATACTTAAGACAACGTTTTAAGGAAACCTTAAGGGAAGACTCAAGGGTGTTTTGTGCAACCAGTTTTACTTTTGAGGAAACCTTAACTAGGACTTTAAGCAAAATCTTAACTAACCCTGGACCCAAGGTTTCCCAGCAGTACATTGCACTGTAATGAGTCGATCAATGTAATTCAGTTGTCAGTGGTTTTAATGTTGTGGCTGATCGGTGTATCTATAAAAGGAATACGACCCGGTATTAAAAGCTTTCAGTACCTGACAGTTTTTGTGGACACATTTCATTTGGTACCAAAAAACAGTGAAGTTTAATACCTTTCCTTGCTCTTTATCTTTGAGACATATAAGACTAGATCCTGGTCACTTTACTAAGGTACAAGATGCCTTGGCTTTGCGTTGAGTGTTATTGCTGCTACAAAGTGGTACAAAACATACTGTTCTCTCTGCAAATGACTAAGAAGAGTTGAGTTTGCTATTGATTGTGATGGAAGCAACACTTTATTGCCTCAAGAAAGTTGAATCCCCTGGACTTTAAAACAGAACTTCCAATTTTGTCCACAAGATGTCAGTGTTCCCTTAAAAATGTAGCCCCTTCGCTTGCACTCAGCAATACCTGCAGTACCTGATTTTAAATGGCCCTGCAGCTCTGTAAAACATGCAGCAAAAACATGGGAAGCATGAACACTGTGTTGTGGCTGCTGAACATATCGTGGACCTGTATGTGAACTGGAGCTGTGCAAAATATGAAGCAACTGACCTGAGAGCCAAAAGCTGTTGGAGACATTGTCACTACTGGCACATATTCTACAGTGGTTCCCTTTTGGTTTGATTTTTATTTTATGCCAGAATAAGAATGTAGCTGTTGTTCATTTGTGTATTTTGCCCACTGATGCTGATAAACAATGCAACACTATGGACCTGTGTATTACAGTGGCTCTTGTGACCAAAACACAGGTGAGGCTGTCACTTCTGATAGCATGCATTAAGTTGCATCTTTGACAGATTGTGGAAAATTAAAAGGTCGTAGAGAAGTTGTTTTAACAATGTGGTTCCTTGTTTATCATTAGGATGAGTTACACACACATGTATGTACGTTGACATACCAGCTTTTGTTGTGACTGTTATACCTCCACAGAAGCATAGAGGGCTACGGTGGTCTATGTCTTTCCGACGCGAGCCTTTTTTATGCATGCTCGGTGGAGTCTGCGTGTGTGTTTGTGTGTGTCAGGGGGTTTGTTAAATTTATGTCAGAGTGTGTGTGTGTGTGTGTGTGTGTGTGTGTGTGTGTGTGTGTGTGTGTGTGTGTAAAGGGGAGGGGGACTGACGAGGTTGTCAGAAGTTGGGTATTCTTTGCTTGACAAAAACCTCCCAGTACTTTGCTGCTGTCTAATTCCTGCAAGACTACAGCATCAGTGCACAGACAACTTTATTATACCTGAAGATCTTTTTTAATTCGGGTGATGATAGTTTGGAGCCGTGCTCGTTAAAAAACTTGCACATTTCTAGGTGGGAACACAGACAGACAGACAGACAGACAGACACAGATAGTATGCAGCAGCCTCACTTTTTCAGTGTGCGTCATAGGCATACCTACAGCAGAGGCGTGAGTGGGCTCAGGGACTCTGGAGTCTGATATATAAAATATCTTCTCTTGCCTCTCCTGCATTACACTGCAGCAGGCAACGCCAGGGCACACCACTTTCTGCACGCTGATTTAAACCCAAAGGAGAGCCATTATATCGCTTGAGAGCTCTCATCTTGGAGGGCATCGCTCTCTGTATCTCTCCTGTCTCTCGCTAAATCACGGAGTCACACGTTTCTGTCACCAGCACGTGTTGCCGTCTTCTTCAACAACTCACACGCACTGATAAGCAGCTATATAGGGAAGCCTACTGTAAAGATGTGTCAAAGCCTCACGTGTTGTGCAGACATGAAGGGCTCTTAAAAGCACTGAGATATCACCACGCTTGGACAAATGTGCCTGCCACGGCTGTACGCACATCCCTGCTACCCTCACTTGTCAAGTCTGCAAATCCAGAGGGACTATTGTCTCGTATAAAATGACACAATAAATTACTGTCACTATAAGGGGGCTGAGGCATAATTTGGCAGAGAGAAGGGAGGACTTGAGGCGCCACAGTGCTGTTTGCGTGTGATGAGTGGATAAAGCAAAGAGAGATGGAAAGGAGGTAAATAACTAATCAGGTTTGGGCCACTCGGCTGTCTCAGATGAAGGTCATTTCTATTAAGATCATCTTTACGGCACAGAGAAAGATACAAGGGAGGGAGGGATGCATAGATGAGGAGAGCTAGAGCGCTTTGCTGCATGCTGATGCTAATGTCTTCCTCATGTATTTTCTCACTAAGCTTTCACTCTCTGTCCTCCATTTGTCTGTACAGTTTCATATATGTGTTTTGCTGACACTCTCTCTCAGCCTTCGTTCACCTGTTAACTCCCCACCCCACTTCTTTCAGCCTGCATCTCTAATATCTGGAGGGACTGGCTTCATCATCGCACCGTTTGTGCTCCTCTCCTTCTCAGTAACCCACTTCTGCCTTTCTGTATTCTGTCTTTGTCATGAACGCCTACTCAGCAGTATCAGTCCCCACATCTAGACTATACCCACACGTACAGCTTTGTCTCTGTATGTCAACAGATTTGCGACATTCTGAAATGAAACTAGGTAACTAAGTTCCAACCTAAGAGCCTGCTACTGTGCATAAGTTGTGTGTTTGCTTCTGTTCCAGGCTTCATGAATATAATTAGATATTGCAAATGTATGATTGTCAAAAAACAATTAAATTATATTTGGTCCTGGACATGCCTACCTGTTTTGGTACTTTGTCAAAAAGAATTTTCCTTTGGTCGTCATGAAATGGACAGTACAGTAAAAAGTGAATTTCACTATCCACTAACTCACGGCAATGACATAATCTTTGATCTACTTCAGT